GGAAGCAACGATTGAATTTGATGAAGAAGGAACGGAAATGATTGAGGAAATAGACCCTGAGGCATTATAAACACTAAAATTATTTTTATAAAAAATTAGTTACAGTCAGTCAGTAAAATTTAAGGGTGCACACGAGAGGATCATGTAAACTTCAGAATTTAGAACCTTATTTTTAGGCATTATCTTGGCTACCTATTTAGGCTCGAAAAGCAAAAAATATCAAAAAATACAACCTGACTCCATTATGACCCTTTCATGTAGGTAGTTTTTATCCGCTAGTATTTTCCCTTTGAATCTCTTTACAATTCGAAATCAAATTCAAATCTCAGTAGAAGAAAGGAAGAATCGACTTACTACGGTTGTAATACGAATAAATACATATATTTAATTATTTTTATTTACATAATAATTGTTTGAAGCTCATATTCCATCAAATTTTTAAATAAAAACATTAAAATGTTGAAAATGTTCATATATTTTAATAGGGTTTTGGCACTTTATTGAGGAATTACCACATACATAGTCGAACTGAACTTGATATTTTGAAATTTAAATTATTTATCAAAATTAAAATTTAACTTGAAATTTATAATTATTTAGTCATATTTTGCATAATTCTAAGTAGATTTTGTAAAAAATCAAGATAGAAAAATTTTAACGTGCTTTATTTTTTCTTTTTTATAATAATACATATTATTATATAATTAACATATTCATAATGTTTCACCCTTTCAAAAATATAATCCTCCTCCTCTCAAATAAACGTACATACGGGTGGCCTCTTTTTTCAAAAAATTAAAATTTGAAATTTTGGGCTCAAATATTAGAGATTTTTTCAACTTTCAACGATATATGTTGTCTATATCAGACCTCCTTTCTTTTTGATACTTAACATTGTTCCTAAATCTCAGCCGTTAAGGCTGTTCTGAAAATATTTTTTTCGAAAAAATTCGAAAAAAATTCTTAAAATTCAAAAATCCCTTAATTCCTGAGGATTTTGGAAAAAAGTTTTTACATGAACATGTGTATATTAGATGAAGTATATTGATAAGGTAAAAATCAAATTTTATTGCATATTCATCGAGAAAATAAACTAACGAATCCCTCAAAATTGAGAGGTAATCCTCCTCCTCTCAAATAAACGTACATACGGGTGCACCCTTAAACCAAAAAATATTTTTAGTTGAAAGGGTATTTCTAACCCGATATCTACCCTCATTTCTACCCCATTAATTTTTCATAACATTTAGTCATTAATTTTTCAAGTTCATGCATATCAGTGTTTAAAAACTCATTGACTTCATCTTCAACGGTATCATTTTGTAATAAGAATATTTTCTTTAGTTTCATGTCAACATCCCGAACAGCACAAAGGATAAAATCATATTCATTTCTTCCGTTAAACATACTTTTTCTTTCTCGTTCATCGTTAAATAAATTATTGAAAATATAAACAGCGGTGTAAAAGTTATGTACTGTATTAAATGTTGAAGCTTCACCTATTTTAGATTTTAGGATTCTTTTAGTAAGTAAATTGTTATCGTTCTTTCTGTTTTCCTTATCGTTCATGTCGAATCTGTCGAACCACATATCCTGTATTTCATCGAATTTACGAACTATAGAATCCGTCATTTCCCTGGTTAATGAGGGGTAATCATTATTAATTTTTTCATATAATTTGTCCATATGATTTTCATCAACATTCGCCATGTTAAACATTTAATTAAAGCAAAAATATATTTTTAGTTGAAAAGGGTAGATATACTCCGATATCTAACCTGATTTCTACCCCGGTCATTTTACAAACGTTTAACGTGATATACGTTATGAATTCGTGAAATTTTAAATATTTTTGTAGCTTCTATTTCTTCAGTTAATATATCAAAAGTTTTAACGATACCGAAAGTTTCTTTATACTTCTTCTTGACATCAGATAAAAGGAAATCATCGGCTGTGGGATAGTTTTTATTCAGAAATTCTAACATGTTCATTTTATCTTCTGCCAGCTTCTCTGCTTCTTTCTTTAGGTCTGCGTAATCGTTTCTCATTCTTTCTATCTCTTTTACTGAATAGTTATATTTCCTAATTGCTGCTTTACATTTCGAACACTGAGGATTCATTTTTGCGTTATATTCTGAAACCTTACCTGCTAAAATAACTAAAGCATCAATGGCTTTCTTTAAATCTGAAGCAGTTGGTTTTATCTGTTCATGCCATACTTTACCTCTTCTGTCTTTATCTCTAATCTCCCACACACATCTAGCAGCTAATGAAACAAAACTATCGTATGTCTTAAACTCCTCAGATTTATAAATATCAGAAATGTTTTTATAAACCATGTCGCAGTCTTTATCCATAATCTTGTGGTTACAATGAAAACCTAAGAATTCAGAATTTACCTTACGAATGAATTTCTTAATTTCTGCTGAATCAGTAACTTTAAATTCAATTTCATCGAATTCAGGAATAGTTAGTTTCTGTTGCTGAACTTCAGGTAATTTAGGTAAATGGTCTATGATATCTTGCATTTCATATAACTCCTCTCCATTTGTTTCATCTTTCGCGCTACAGTCTAAATTACTTGTTAAAAGTTCCTGCTTAATTTTTTGTATTTCTGTTTCGAAAGTAAATGAAGAAGGAATGAAGTTTTTCATTTCTACTAACATTGACGTAGGATTCATGACTAATGAATTTGGTGCCGTTGATATCGAAAGTGCGGATGTTTCGATTTTTGTAATCATATTTATATAAAAATAAAAAAATAAAAATAAAATAAAAACTAACTTTATTTTTTATTTCGTGAAAAATTAAAAATAAAATTTTATTTTCTTTTACTCATAATATTTTTGTGCATAATGACCCCATACCTTTAACTTCTTTTCTGCTGCTTCTATTGCAATCTTAGCGAGTTCATATTCTTTATAATCTCTTATTAAATCAGCTTGTTCCAACTGGTCTAGTTCATATTCTTTCTGCGGTTCAGTAATTTGTCTAACTTCTTCTTCAAATAAAATTTCTGCATTTTCTGTTGTGTCTTCCTCCTTCACCACAATCAAAGACTGTTGAATCTTCAAAAATGTTTTTGTTGTTTGAAGTTGATGATGACATATATGAACATAAAAATACTCCTTCACCCCAACTTGTTTGTATAGATTTTGTGGCACATGTTTGATAGATAACACAACTTCCATATCTATAATAAACTGTTTGAGATGGAGTTTTTGTGCCATTGAATTCAGAAATAGAAATAAGAAGTTTTGTTTGATCATTGATGTTTATACTGACAACAACTTCTTTAATTTCATTGAATAAACATGTTGTAATATAATAATTTCCTTGTTTTGATCGACTAAATATTTCATTTTCGGTGTGTTTTTCAGTGATAACTGAATTTTCATAAAAATGTGTCCAAGTATCAAGACTTGGACCTGAATCGAAGAACTGTCTTAATAAATGTTTCATTTTCATACATTCCATAAAAATATTTGAATGAATTACTCCTAAAATTTCGTTTAGCACACAAAGAATAGTTTTTATTTAATATGGACATAATATTATTTAAGTGTAAAGATTGTTTAATTAAAATTGCCAAGACATTATATTTATCAAGGGATATATAATCCCTTGAAGTTGAAAATCAAAACATTTTATGTCACTTTTTTGGTATTTTTTTATAAAAATTTATGTTGGCATTTTTTTAAAGGAGTACAAGTATCGATGATTTCATTCATATTTTACACTTCAAACTCAATTAGAATACGATTGTAGTCATAATGATAATCTTCTCTGCGCAAGGGTCTCAAACGAATTCTAATAAAAGAGGAGAAGTTTTTAAATGCAAGTACAAAGCAGCATCTTCTAAACACACTTTAACAAACCATGAGAAATATATCGAGTTTAATTAGAAAGAATGAATTTAATTTTAATTTTGCATTGTTTAATAGTTTTTTTTTTAACAATGATGTATATCTTGATAAACTTTATTGCATTGATATTTTCTCAAAAAAATAGCCAATCATTTTTATTATTGTATATTTTGCTGAAAACAGGAAATCACAAACAGATCAAAAAGAACTGCTAAAATTAGAGATAACAAAACCATATATACCTAAAATTAAATTTAATCCTTTGATAGAGATAATGATATTCCAACATTAATTGATGGTAAAATTTCAAAATTTAAACACATTTTCCTACGTAAAGTCTCCCTATCGTTTTTCTCCCTCAATATTGAGGGAACCTCTATCAAAAATTTGAATAAGAGACTTTACAAAAGAAAAGGAGTTTACTCATCATTCATTTATATCTTGAATGTTGATTATTACCATTAAAATAGAATATTTATTATCATAATCAATAGATTAAAGATGATAAAAATATATGAAATACAAAAGAATGCATTAAAGAATAGTAAGGAATAAAATTACAAGAAATTTCAGTTAGTATCTAGTAATTGGGTACCAAGGGTCTACGCCCCTCGGACCCCAAATTACTAGAATTTACAAAAACCGTTTGACATGTAAAATACATTTGACATTTACAAAAAAAAAAATAATAATTTTTTAAAAAATAAACTTAAAAATTAACGTTAAAATTTTTGACACTTCACAAAATAAAAAAAATTAAAAATAAACTTTAAAAAATTAACGTTAAAATTTTTTTATTTATTTTTTTTATCATAGATTTTAACACCCAGAGTAAAAAAATAATTTTTTAAAAATAAATTAACTCAAAATTTTTTTAATTTCTGTATATACTAAATTTTTCATAAATGATAAAATTAATTTTAGGGTATATCTAACCCGATATCTAACCTCATTTCTAACCTTGTGAATTTTCTTATAAAGTTGCGATAGTTGAATTCAGTAACTGAGCCTCAAGGAAGAAAACATCCTTTCCGTCTTCGGGTAACACAACGGAGCATTTATGATCATGTGTAGAATACATATCAATCCAAAACTCTCTATTATTTCCTGATAACTTATAATATTTAATATTTGTTAATGGCGTCGATCTAGTATGACCGATAAATTCATTTTCAACCCCTTTAGCGATATTTGAATATAAAATGACTTGTTTTCTGTCCCATACATTATATGTTATTATTGGTAATAATACTGTTCGTTCTTCTCCGGGTTTATAATTAAATACATTCATGAAGTCTTCATTATACTGAGAAATTTTAAAACCTATCCTAAAATCACTTTGTCTCTTTTCTGCTATTTCATTAAACGGTGAGTATATAACAAATGTGCATGTATGTGAATCATCTATTTGTTCAATAAATTCATAATGAAAGTCTATAATTTGTGGTTGAATTACTTCTTCTTTTAATTTATCAAGATACACATTTAATCCTAAAGCGGTTTTGTTAAATTTCTTTTCGAAAATTTCGTTAAAATCACTCATGCATTCATATAATGTTGTGTCGTCTTTGAAATATTTATATATGTGAATAGTTTGCTTAAATTCTTGGATTTCGTTTATAACAACAACTTCGAGCTCAAATTCAACCTTTCTAAATCCTCGTGTTATATACATACTTGATAAACCAATATATTTTTCGTTTATATTAACAGACCAGTCAATAGGTAATTTAAATGTGATTCTATTTCCATTTATTTTAACATTTTCGTCTTCAGAACTGAAAGCGACTGTTAAAGGTACTTGTCTATACATTTATTACAAACAAAAATATATCATTTATTCTTTCTTCTCAATGGATTCAGCCTTTTCCTTTTCCGCCTTTTCTTTAGCCTCACGTTCTCTTTTTGCTTTCATTCGCGGGTTCTTCTCTCTTCCTGCAGCTAATGCGGCTAACTGCTTTTCACTTAATTTCCTTTTTGGTTTTTCTGGTTTTTCTTCAGCGCTCTGCGCCAAGACCGAAGGTCCTGTTTTTGATGTCTTTAGTTCTTTTAATATCTGCTCACGAATTTCTTTTTTGATGGCTTCAATATCTAATCCCTGACTCATTTGATTACCGATAAAAAATTCAAAATTTAAAAATTTTATTTGAATTAAATATGAGCCTATCAAAATCTGAGAGACAATCGATTATATTAAATGATGCAAGAGGAATTCAGCATCCATTATATTATGTATCAACAAGTAAAGATGGAAAAATTTATGTAAGAAAAAGACGAGTTCCATTAACGAATTCGGAAACTGATAAAATTGATATTAAACCTCCTCCATCTGAAACAAAAGCGGAAGACAGCGAGGCTGTCAGGGCAAAGCCCACGATAAAGGAAACGGAACCTAAACCAGAACCTAAACCCGATGTACTTTCGATAACGAATCAAGAATTAATAGCTAAATTTGTAAATTTCATTGAAAAGCAAACAGAATCAAAAAATCCAGACCCACCAGTAAAAGAACAGGAAACCAAAATTAATGAAGAGTTTGTTAAAAACATAAAACATGAAATTATTGAACAAAAGAAACAAATTCCTCAACTAAGAAGAAGAGTTAGAATATTAAACTAAATAAATATTTTTATCTAACATAAAACATGCAAAACGAACAGCTTAACGAATTTACACCAGCTGAACATATCCATCAAATTCGTTTATATTTTGATGTAATCGATAATGCAATTAATATTGGTGATACTAATAGAAGATATATCGATGCTAAAATTCCATCACAACCAGGAAGCGCAAAGGATCATAACTGGGTCACATTCAATTTATCTCCGCCAGGTGAAAATATGCTAGACCTTTATAACACATTCCTTACAACTACCTATAAAAGTAAATATATCATTGATAATGCTATTACTGGCTCATCAATTCCAAATACTAATTCTCCAGGTTTCTTTGGCGTTTTTGATGAATCAATTTACACCATTAACGCTTATCAGTTATTAGCAAATGGAAGAGTTATTTATAGTCAGGATAACGCAAGAGAAGAAGCATATATCATTTCTAATTCACAGACTACAGAACAAATAAAGAAAGTTGATGTTTTCTCAAAAACGAGACATAAAGATGTATGGAAACGTTCTGGAACAGTTTGAACAGGTCAAATTATCTCAGGACCTTTAGCTGCAGGAGCTGAAATTAATTTTGACATTAAAATAAAGATTTCATGTCGTAAATTCCTTATTCTAGAAGTTATTAGATTTATTCCTGCTTTTGCAGGCAACATTCAGTTAAAGGTTAAATTTAGTAGCGATGCATTCCAGGTAACAGCACTGCCGGTAGAAGATATTTTAGCTCATAATCCTTCTTTAATCAGTCAGGTAAAAGATAATTATGACCCACCAACTAATAAATTTGTTCCATGGAATGAACCATTCAATATGATAACAGCAGTTTCTAAATCAAATGGTGAAATTACTGTTTCAACAGTTGAACAAAGATTAACGAAGAAATCAGCTGAATTCATTGATTGCTTCATTCATCCTAAAGCATTTTCACTCGATCCAAATATTTACACTGAATTAGTCGATCATTATACATCACAAGCTTTATGTTTTCCAATTAAAGTAATGGACTGGATTCCTATGGACGGTTCGTTCAGTAAAGGTTCACCATCAGCAACGTTCACAGCAGCTTATACACCAATTAACGTTAAAAGCATTTGGGCTTTATTTAGGAAGAATGATAATTATATCGTGAATTTCGAAAATACTCAATTTGAAACCCTTCAATTATCAATGGGCGCTTATGGAAGTATGCCAGCTGAACCCGAAAGCTCTTATGGTCCTGTGTTCTATGAAATGGTTGCTAATGCATGCAATACAAATAACGATATGATAGGATTTAATGAAGATGTGATGAGGTCGTTAATTGATGATGGAAGCGTTAAACATTTATATGAATCATACGATAACACACATTTCCTCTGTGGATTCCCTACGGAAACTGATTTCACATTTCAACAGGGTCAAACATCAACGGCACCAATTACTTATAAATTAGGTGTTAAAGCTGATGATACAAATATAAGCGAAAAATACACTGTCAAACCTTTATTAGGATTTCTTAGAAATGCTTGTTTCGCTATTCAAGTCAGACCAGCTGGCATTCCTGCTGTTAGAATTGATGATTATAATTTAGCTGCTGATGGAGGTGAAGAGTAAAAAAAATAAATGTAGTTAATTTTTAATTTTCTGATTTTTTTATTTTTATAAAAAGATGGAAAATAGCTGGGAAACATTAGTAGCTGATGAAGATTATGAAATAAACACTGAATATCCGTATCAAATAAGAAGGAAGAAAAACGGAAAGACTGTCAGTGAGTATGAAGAAAAGAATGTATATATAAGATTAACCCTTAACGGTAAAAAATATCTTAAACATAGATTAATAGCTATTCAGTGGATTGATAATCCTGATAGTTTTGGGGAAGTTGACCATTACGATAAAGTTAGAAATAATAATATGATTGATAATCTACATTGGTGTTCAAGTTCTACAAATAATAGAAATAGAAGTAAAGCAAATGGAGTAGAATATAATTTCGTTGATGAAATCAGTGAAAATTCAATTACTGTTTCACATTATGGAAATCATGAATTTGAGGATTTATTTTACGACATCGATGCAGATTTGTTTTATTATTATAACGGTCGTCAGTATAAAGAACTATACATTAATGAAAACATAAATGGTTCATTATATGTTAATGTTTATGATGTTAATGGAAAAAGAACATGCATTACGTATAGTAAATTCAAACGCTTACATAATTTAATATGATAAAAATAAATCTAGTTGATTTTTAATTTTTTGAATTTTTTATTTTTATAAAAAGATGAGCTGGCAAACACTCGAACATGATAGCGAATATGAAATTTTCACTGAATTTCCTTATACTATAAGACGAATATCTAATAAAAGAGTTGTAAGTGAATTTGACGAGGGGGATGGTTATATTTGTGTTAATCTTAACAAACATAAACTATTTAAACATAGAATAGTTGCTGAAACTTTCATTCCTAATCCTGATGGGCTTCGTGAAGTCGATCATATAAATAGAGATAGAGGAGATTATCACATTTCAAATTTACGATGGACTTCGAGAAAAGAAAACATGAGAAATATATCTGGTTCTAATGGTTATTGGTTTGATATTATTGATTCACTTCCTGAAGACGCGGTTGAAATCATTCAATATTCAAAATTTACTCTCGAAAATTACTTTTATGTCCCGAGTGAAGATTCATTTTATTATTTCATGGGAACTCAATATAGAAAATGTAATGTTTTGCGTCAGTACAAACAAGATTATATAAACATTACTGATGTAGAAGGAAGAAGAACAAAATTATCTATTGCAAAATTTAAGAAAGATAATGGTTATGCATAAATGACAAAAATAATGAAGTCATTTATTTTTATCATTCATGACTTCAAAACTTTAATTTCCTTATGAAAGTATTTTTGTTTTGGATTGAAAAGTTAAACTTCTCTTCAAATGAAGGTGTGGATGATTTACATAAATCAAATGCAATTTCCTGACCGTCATGAAGGACTTCATATAGTTTCATAACTGAAAACTCACTATCTTTATCATAAGTTCCAGCAGGTATATGTAAGTTCTTATCTTCATCGTAATAGCATTGAACTGCTTCAGGGAACATTTCATTAGCTGTAATTGATATTACATCACCACGAACTCCTTTACAACGACAGTGAAAAGCTACTTCACCGATGTCATTTATTAATAAATCTACATATGTTTTCTTTCCACAAAATATCGACTTATAAGCAAGCGATTGATGGTCCTTAGTAATTTCAGCAAAGTCGGAATGAAATTGACCAAGATTTTTACCAATCAAAACTCTTCCATAGCGTTTCTCATACTCTTGAGCTAAAAGAGGGATATCGCTGTTATAGAGATGCATTGAATCCGTATCGGAATAAAAGATACTCAACCACATATCCTCAGCAGTGCAAAATACTTCATTCATGATACGTTTCGACATAGATAAGATATTAACACCTAAGGGGCAAAAGTTAAAGTGTCTGCAAATGCTTTTAGTTAGTTTGAAAATAGTTTTATCCGAACCATCTAAACCTTCGAACTTAATAATATGATTATAATTTCTGATGGCATACCTAACAGCATCTTTATCATCAATGATTTTAATTTTCGACTCTATCGGGGACAAAATAGTTTTTCCATAAATACTGTTCAAAATTAATTTAATATTTTCTTGTAGCGGCTTTTCTTCCTTCTTATACTTTAATCTCAATTCAAACAATTTCTTTACTTCGCAACTGATGCCCTGATATTTTATTAAATCTTGTAAAGTGATGTGGTCCACATACATTAAACAGCATGTGTTTGAACTTCTTGGAACAGTGGCTTTGTCCTTGGTGCTTTTCGCCTTTAGCTCCGGGTTTAATTCTGGATCGACTGTTATAAGTGGAAAATGTCTTTTAATCTTGATATCAGTTATTTTTATTAAAACAAAGAATCCGGAAATGAATTTATCACCTTCAGGCTCGCCCTGGTCATCTTCGAATAAATGTTTTAACAAATATTCACGTTTAACATTTCTGGCTTCAAAACTTTCGGAATTCCTTCTAAAGTATAAAGTCTCGCGATAGCGGATGGATATAGTGAGACAGCATCGAAGTCAGCAATGAGTTTCTTTTCGCTCTTTTGTTTCTTATTATCAGCTAACATACATCTTCCACCTTGAATACAGCGTGAAATAAACTCACGGGGTTTATTTGATAGGTCATATAAATTTCCATTAGGGAAGTATACTCTGTTCTCAAATAATTTATTAGCAATTGAACAAATGCTAACGTAATCATAAACGTTTAAATCAAATTCTTTTAATATATCATTTCTGAACTTAACGAAACCTTCTCTTATAATCCTTACGTCCTGTTTACAGTAAAATGAGCTCTATTTTTCTAAATCGAAATGGTTTTCATCTATTCTGCAGTTTTCGATTAAATCTATGTTTTTCATGAACGTTTCAACATCCTGGACAAACTTACATGCTTCAGAAATGACACCAGTTCTGTTATCATTAACTAATAAAGAACTTGAATAATATTGATACGGAAATACTTCCTTGGGTCCAGTTTGTAAATGAAACATTTCAGGAAATAGGTTAAGCTTCTTATTTATAACAGTGTATGAATCTTTTATAATGATTGCTTTACCTTTATATATTCCCGTTATCTGCATTGTTCTAGAACCCTTAATAATTGGTGTACCACTGATTTCTGTTAAATGTCTTAAAATGAAATTGATATCATAACTGAGATTATGAAAATATACTAAACTCTTATCTGGAATTCTTTCTAAAAATTCTGTTGCACAATTTTGACCCCAAATGCTTTCGCTAATCTTTCCATCTTCACTGTCATAACAAATGTTAAAGGCTTTATGAACTCCATCAGTGCTACATTCAAAGTCAGCGAAGAAAATGTGTTCAGGAATGAATTTTTGTTTTGATTTATCATTATCTTTACTTTCGGACTTTTTCTTTAACTGAACACAGTAGTTGGGAGTATAATTTAAATCTTTAAACGGTGCAAGTTTTTGTTTATATAAATCTGTTGTATAAGTGAAAAGTTCTCCATAAGATAAAGGTTCAAAGTAATTGCACTCTCTTAATGTTTTCAAAATATCCCATAAAGGAGTTGTTCGTGAAGAATCAATTATAAATCTATTTTCTCTTTTCTTATATATTTTCATTTGACGCTCGATATTCCAGCCGCCTAATGATTTGAGAATTTCGTTATAATTTTTGATAAAATATGTTGTCATCGGTAATCTTTCATTTAACATGTAATGGTCTTCAACAAGAAGTATGTCAATAGTTCGAACAGTTTCACATTCTTTTGGTATATATCTCTTTATTTCATTATGTCTAGAGTCATTGAAATAACCAATGGTAACATTAAATGCTATGCCTGTTGCGTTAGAAATTTCCTGAATCTTACTTTGTGGAAAATCCCTAACTCTAATGACTTCACGCATGTGGTCTACCGTCTGCTCATCAACTCCAGCCTGAATGCAAGCATAAACGAAGCAGTTATCTTCTGTCATCAACTTAGCAGTTCTTTTATTAAGTTCATTGAAAATTTGATAGCGTTCAAGATTTATCGGTAATCTGCAAATATATTTCCAAAACTCACCACTTCTCTTTTTATTCGTTCTCTTTTCATCAAGAATTTCATTCCAAAAATCATCTATATCCTGTTTATCTCCTATTTCTTTAAGTCTGTTTAATAATCTTTGCTGACGTGCTGTTAATTTGCTTTCATCTCTTTTTTCTCTCTTCTGTGGCTTACCTTTCTTAATATCACTCATCGTTAATCCTTCATATTCAGTTAAATCATACATTTTAATTTCTTCGAGGTTCTTAATATTTGTCATGAAGAAATCATAATGTTTTTCAATTATTCCAGCTGTGTTTGCTTCAATCTCTGTTATAAAGTTTTCTTGCTTTAACTGATGAAGTAAAGCTCCGATGTTCTCGATATTCAATGTTGAATTAGTAAATTTACCATCGAGTTTATAACAAATCATCCATTTTTGCTGTGAATTTACTTTTATCTTCTGCAGAATCCTAATAAACATTTTTCCGAAACGTTCATGTAGGTAATTTCTGTTTTCTTCATTGAGTTCTTTAATGTTAAAATCTATGATTCTATTTCCTGATTTAACATTTTTGCGTTTATTATTTTCATCCTTCTTTAACCATTTCTCACCATCAAGAGCTTTATCATCTATAGATTTAATTACTTCGTTTGCTTTGCGTAATTGTGCAATTGCTTTTGCATATTTTACAGCTATATTTTTCTTTTCTTCATCGCTTTTCTTCTTTCTCGTTTCACCTACATTAACATTAGTTATATCATGCATTTCCTGCCTAACTTCCTTCTGTACCGCCTTACGCGTCTTTCCTACATCAACATTAGTTATATCATACATTTCTTTTCTTACTTCCTTCGGTACTGCTGTCCTTGTCCTTCCTACATCAAATTCATCATATCATGAATTTCCTGCCTAACTTCCTTCGGTACTGATTGTTTATGATATAAATTAACCTGAATATCATTTAAAGGAAATGTTTTGTTATTAATGTAATCATTAATTTTCTCGTAAGTGATTTCACCTCTGTAATCATTGAGGTATTTAGCTAATGATGATTTGTTAGTCGCATATCTTTTGCTAACTTCAATGTCAGCATTCTTCAATAACTTCTTAATTTCTTCATGGTCTAATCTAGATAGCTTTTTATACATCTTTTATGGAAAATAAAAAAATATTTTCGTAAAAATAAAATTTATTTTTAAAGTTATTTTTTTAAAATAATTTATATTTTTAATTTTAATAAAATAATGTCTGAGTACAAGTTTTATTCATACAATGCTCTCGCTACTGCTGTTAAGAATGAATTCATAAATGGAAAAAACGTGAACGCAATATTAAATAAAAAGTTTGTGAAAGAATCTAAATACGGTCAGTTCGTTAAACCATACGCTATCATTATTGACAGAAAACGTTACACACCACATGAAATAGCAGTATTACTTAAACAAAGAGGAATATTTGTAAATATTAAAGATTCTCATTATACGATTATGAAGAACTCCAACGCTGAATTTTTCAGTATCGTTTTAGATTTATCGCAGCAGAAAGAATACAAGAAAGGTGAAGTAATAATGAAATATTATCCTTCATCTCTGAAGACGATAACGAATAAAGATATAATCAATAAGCTCCTACCAGTAATTGAGGAAGCAACGATTGAATTTGATGAAGAAGGAACGGAAATGATTGAGGAAATAGACCCTGAGGCATTATAAACACTAAAATTATTTTTATAAAAAATTAGTTACAGTCAGTCAGTAAAATTTAAGGGTGCACACGAGAGGATCATGTAAACTTCAGAATTTAGAACCTTATTTTTAGGCATTATCTTGGCTACCTATTTAGGCTCGAAAAGCAAAAAATATCAAAAATACAACCTGACTCCATTATGACCCTTTCATGTAGGTAGTTTTTATCCGCTAGTATTTTCCCTTTGAATCTCTTTACAATTCGAAATCAAATTCAAATCTCAGTAGAAGAAAGGAAGAATCGACTTACTACGGTTGTAATACGAATAAATACATATATTTAATTATTTTTATTTACATAATAATTGTTTGAAGCTCATATTCCATCAAATTTTTAAATAAAAACATTAAAATGTTGAAAATGTTCATATATTTTAATAGGTTTTGGCACTTTATTGAGGAATTACCACATACATAGTCGAACTGAACTTGATATTTTGAAATTTAAATTATTTATCAAAATTAAAATTTAACTTGAAATTTATAATTATTTAGTCATATTTTGCATAATTCTAAGTAGATTTTGTAAAAAATCAAGATAGAAAAATTTTAACGTGCTTTATTTTTTCTTTTTATAATAATACATATTATTATATAATTAACATATTCATAATGTTTCACCCTTTCAAAAATATAATCCTCCTCCTCTCAAATAAACGTACATACGGGTGGCCTCTTTTTTCAAAAAATTAAAATTTGAAATTTTGGGCTCAAATATTAGAGATTTTTTTCAACTTTCAACGATATATGTTGTCTATATCAGACCTCCTTTCTTTTTATACTTAACATTGTTCCTAAATCTCAGCCGTTAAGGCTGTTCTGAAAATATTTTTTTCGAAAAAATTCGAAAAAAATTCTTAAAATTCAAAAATCCCTTAATTCCTGAGGATTTTGGAAAAAAGTTTTTACATGAACATGTGTATATTAGATGAAGTATATTGATAAGGTAAAAATCAAATTTTATTGCATATTCATCGAGAAAATAAACTAACGAATCCCTCAAAATTGAGAGGTAATCCTCCTCCTCTCAAATAAACGTACATACGGGTGCACCCTTAAACCAAAAAATATTTTTAGTTGAAAGGGTATTTCTAACCCGATATCTACCCTCATTTCTACCCCATTAATTTTTCATAACATTTAGTCATTAATTTTTCAAGTTCATGCATATCAGTGTTTAAAAACTCATTGACTTCATCTTCAACGGTATCATTTTGTAATAAGAATATTTTCTTTAGTTTCATGTCAACATCCCGAACAGCACAAAGGATAAAATCATATTCATTTCTTCCGTTAAACATACTTTTTCTTTCTCGTTCATCGTTAAATAAATTATTGAAAATATAAACAGCGGTGTAAAAGTTATGTACTGTATTAAATGTTGAAGCTTCACCTATTTTAGATTTTAGGATTCTTTTAGTAAGTAAATTGTTATCGTTCTTTCTGTTTTCCTTATCGT